AGCATTGGGTATAGATGGCTTTCTTGATGACTTTAAGCAAGAATGGGAGAAAAAATCTTTCAGATAATAGCTGGTGGGCATGGTCAGATCAGATGAGGGATAGTTAAGAATGAGGTAGACATGGGAATGTTTGTAGGCATCTGAGAAGGAGCCAATAGATTTGGAGAGATTGAAAATAAGATTGAAAATGGACATGATAGGCAATTTGTTGGAAAATAGCAGAGGAGTGGAATCAAGATTGCACGTAGAGAGCAACAAGAATTTATTATGCACTTACTATATGCCAGGAATCATGTTACGTATTGGGGATACAAATACAAGCAAAAAACCAAATCTTTGCCCTCAAAAACCTTATGTTCTACTGGGGGAAGACAACACATAAAAGGGAATTGAAAGGAAGGAGTGAAGGTGGTAAAATTCAGACTCAGAAGCAGAGATGGGAAGAGAATGAATCATGGTCAGCCTGGGCCCATCCCCCAAAAGCATAAAGGTTGGCTTTGATAAGGAAAAGGGCAACATTTTCATTGGAGACTGAAGTGAAGAGGAGTTAATGAGGATGATGTCAAAAGACTAGGCTAAATGGCTTCGGTTTTTTTAGTGAAGTATTCATTGAGGTCTTTAGCTAAGAGGCTGGTGGGAAGGGGTGCCATGGGAAGCTTGAGAAGAGAAGGCATTTGGAAAAGCCATTGTGGGGAGTGTGAGAGTGAATCAATTAGAGAGAAATAGAATGTCTGCCTTTACTGCTATGAGATTCCAGTTAAGATGTACTCTATGTGATGCCATGGACGTTGTCCTTGGGGTTTTCTTTGCAAAGATACTGGAGTGATTTGCCATTTCCTTCTCCAGTGTGTCCCCATTTTACAGATGAGGAACTGAAGCAAATAGGGGTTAAGCTACTTGCCCAGGGTCACACAGCTAGTTCGAGGCTAGATTTGAGCTCCAATCTTTCCAACTCCGCTGCACTATCTAGCTACCCAGTTAAAATGAATTAACATGAATTTGTTACAGAGTTTTGTGATTTTTGTAATTTTATCAAGCTTAGTTCAGCAGTATGTGAGAAGAAGTAGAGGAAGTAGAGGGTGGAAGCAATCCAGGATCATGGAAAGTCAGCATGTAATAAAGTGACAGGGAGTGCCCACATGAGTGGGATCACAGGTCTACTGAAGTCTAGTAATATAGCAATATGCAGCTTTTCTTTGTTCTTTTCCAAATGCCCCAAGTGTTTGTATCCAGAAAACAAGGAAATAAGGCTTTCTTAGGTAAACATAGAATTGAAGAGTTTGTGAATGCTTCGTGTCTCTAGTTTCTAATCTTCTCTTCCAGTGGCCATTTTGCTCCTCATCAATAAATCTTTCACTTAAAAACTAGACAGAAGAAGATGAAATTCCAATGGTCAGTGGCTGGTATTCCCCTTCACTCGTTCTTGTCATGCTTTGTCACCTCACACTGTGACTCTCGTCTACCTCTTCCTGCACATCTTCCACATGAGTTCCCTAAAATGTGCTAAGGGATCTTCCTCTAAATCTCTTGACATTATGTGGGCACCATTACAGCATGGGAGTTGTCTATCTATTATCCCTTGCTCTGGCTCCATGATCAGGCCCATGTTTTTTCTTGTCACATATCTCTTTGATGCCATCTTTTGAGTTTAGAGTTGGAGTCAGAAGATATCTGGGATTTGAACCCTGCCTCTGATACTTATGAATTGTATGACCGTGGGCAAGTTAGGTTTTTCATCTTCAAAATCTAAACAGTAATACCTTTAGTATCTACTTCACAGGATGATTGTGAGGATCAAATGAGATAATGTTCATAAAATGTTTTCTAAATATTAAAATGCTACATAAAAGTCAGATTAATAATTATTTTGCAATTATTTGTAGGTTCATTAAATTATAACAGTTACACTTGGAGGACTCAGAAGTTAGATCATATACCCTGTTCCATTCAGGAGCTAAAAATGTAATTGGAGGAAGGAATGGGAAACGGAAGAAACACATAAAAGGAAAAGACATAATAAACATACTCTGGTAACCTAATTTTTTTTGGTCTAGACCTATGATTTCAGCAGTGTAGAGAATTACCAGTGCAGAAGCTAGCTATCCCAATACACATCTGCAAATCATCCATAACTTAAAGTCCTGGAGGGCTGCCTGACGTATTCAGCATGTGTTAATGGAAAGACTTGAACCTAGGTCTTCCAAATTCCCGAGTTCCGATATACCTGATCAACGGGTAATGTCATTAGTTGAAGACTTGGAAAATTTGCCAAGGGGCAGGTAGGTGGCACAGTGGTTAGAGCACCGGCCCTGAAGTCAGGAGGACCTGAGTTCCAAACCGGCCTCAGACCAAACACTTGACACTTACTAGCTGTGTGACTCTGGGCAAGTCACTTAACCCCAACTGCCTTAAAAAAAAGAAAAGAAAAGAAAATTTGCCAGGCAAATTTAAAGACTTTCTGCTTACTTAAGATGTTGAAATTATTCACTGCTGAAAGATTCGTGGGCCATGTGAAAGCTAAAACTTTTCCTTCTGGCTATTAAGTCTCTTCTGCCACATTTTGACAGGGAGGGAAAAAAAATGTGAGAAACCTGTGGAAGAGAAAGAAATATTGATAACTGAAAGGTTGTGAGAGTCTTTTTCACTGGGGCAAACTATACTCTTAGGTCATTTCCTGACTTTTCAAAAAGTTGAAGTCCGAGAGTAAGATGTACCAAGACCTTTTTGAGAACTACAATGTTTGTTTGTTTTGGTGAAGCAATTGGGGTTAAATGACTTGCCCAGAATCACACAGCTAGGAAGTATTATGTGCCTGAGGCCAGATTTGAGTTCAGGTCCTCCTGGCTCCAGGGCAGGTACTCTATCCACTGTGCCACCTGGCTGCCTCTTCTAGTGCTTGTAACAAGGGGATCAGGAAATGCTTCTTTGGAGTTTTAGCTGATACCTAAAGGAAGTCAGGGTACCCAGGAGATTGAGATGAGGAGGTAGAGAATGCTAGGCAAAAGGCCCAGAGTCATCAGATGGAGAGTCAACAGTAAGGAACAGCAAAGAAGACAGTATTGGTGGATTTCAGAGTCTATCAAGGGAAGTAAGGTGTAACCTGACATCTACCTAACTTTCCAGTCTTCTGATACCTTTCCTTCTTTCCATATACTCTGCAATCCAGTGGAAATGACCCCCTTCTTACTCTTCCTCACCCTAGACATTCCATCTCCTGACTCTAAACATTTTCACTCTGGCTCATGACCCCTGTAATAGTCTCTAGTCTTTGCATTCTTGAAGTCAAGACTTCTGAGGTTTCTGTTCTGGGCTTTCTTCTCTAGTTTCTGCCACTGCCTTGTAGTTTGCCCCATGAATTCCTCTTTTCCATTGTGTCTCCTTCCCAGGACAATGCCAGTTTCAGGAGGTGACAGAGAGGACACTATCCCATCTTAGCACCCCCTCCCTATGTCTCTGATTAAATAGCCCACCATTGATTGTAGACCTCCTTTCAGTTACCTTCTTTCTCTATTTGCCTCAAAATCTCATGCCCTTCTACTCTCTGAAGTACCAGTTACCACCATGCTGCCATGATGCTTCTGTAGCTGGGATTTCCAAGGGATTTGGGAGGAGGCCATTACTGGGGTGTCTGTTTAAAGCCCAGACACATGTCTTGTCTTTTCCCCTTGTTCCTCCATTCTTCTACAGAGATCTTCTGCAGCACAAAATGTTGACAGTGTTCTGGCTATTATGGCCTCAGATAATTTCTGCATTTTGAAGTCTTGATGTATATGAACTGAAAAGAGGGAAGGGAGACTAGAATGTCAGGTTAGGTTTTGTTGCAAGCCTGTGGATTGGGTCATTTGGTTTATTAATGCAGGTTGGTGTTGGTAGCATGATGGTAGGGGGAGGGTATGAGCTCAGAGTAGGCATTAGTCCTAGGGTTTCATAGTGAGTGGCAAATCTGGGAACATAAGTCTTTTGATTCCAAATCTACTACTTTTTACTGTTCCACAGAGATGAATTATTTGTTGGTGGAGGTGTCTGTTTACTTATTTGGTTTTTGTTTTGCTTTTTTTAGCCTCCTCCCTATTTCCTTTGAAGGTGCCACCATCCAACTTTCCTTATATCTGTTCCTTCTCTTCATTCACGTGACTATTACCCTTAGTTCAGACTTTTTTTTTTGACCTAGATTATTCCAACAACTTAATTGGACTCCCACCTTCTAGGCTTTTCCTTCTCAAATCTATCTACCACATAGCAGCCAAAATAGCTTTCCTAAAGCACAATTTTGACCATTATCACTTCCATTTTCTTTTTTTTTTAAATAATTTTAATGGTACTTTATTTATTTTTTTAATGAAGCATTTGGGGTTAAATGACTTGCCCAGAGTCACACAGCTAGGAAGCATTGTGTGTTTGAGGCTGGATTTGAACTCAGGTCCTCACCAGTGCTCTATCCACTGCACCACCTAACTGCTCCTATCACTTCCATTTTCAAGAACCTTCAGTAGCTTGCTGCTGTCTCTAGGATAAAAGATGAGCCCTCATGTGCAGAATTTAAAGACTTTCCCAGTCTGTCTCTACGTTGCTTTTTTGCACTTACTTCGTATTACTTCCCTTCTCATTTCTACGTTTTAGCCAAACTGATCTACTTGCTACAGTTCTCTAAATTCAACATTCTATCTCCCCCATTGGTACCTCTGCATGAAATATACTTCCCTCTCAACTCTGTACCTTAGAATCCCTGACTTCTTTCAAACCTTAGCTCATTTGTCACCTCTGATAGTCCTTTTTTAATTCCTCTATTTATTCATGCTCTCTCACCTCTAATAATACTATTTTCATATTGTCTTGCCTTAGTAGAATGCAAACTCCTTGAGTTCAGGTACCGTTTTTCACTTTGTCTTTGTATGGTCAGTGTCTTGAACATAGTAGGTGTTTATAAATGTGTGTTAGATTGAAGTGACTCCTTTCATTTATAGCTGCAACTTCCTTATCTTTTCTGGTTTTCTTTACAGACAGATTGTCAATATTATCATGGTTCAATTCCTCCAGCAACATGTCATTGAAACAAAGGTCTCACACTTAGAGCACCATGGGGTATGTCAATATTTTAAACTTTAAAAGTTCTGTAATTCTTAGCATGCTTTATCAACTTTTCTGCTATGTTCTTTTTTATCTTTTATTTTTTTAAGTTAAATGTAAAAACAATTTTTAATATTCATTTTCTTAAAATTTGAGTTCCAAAGTTTATTCTGTGCTCTTCCCCTCCCCCCCTCATTGAGAAGGCAAGCAATTTGATATAGGTTATACATGTGCAGTCATGCAAAATGTATTTCTGTATTGGTCATGTTGCAAAAGAAAACAAAGATACTCCCCCCCCAAAAAAAACACCAAGAAAAATAAAGAAAGTTTTTAAAGTATGCTTCAGTCTGCACTCAGACTCCATTAATTCTTTCTCTGGAGGTGGATAACATTTTTCATCATGAGTCCTTTGGAATTATCTTAGATCACTGTATTGCTGAGAATGGCTAAGTGATTCACAGGGGCCATTGGAAGCAGGTAAATTGGCCTTAGATATGGGATCTGATAATGCAATCCTATTTCAATTCTTGCTGTACATTTAGCCATACATTGTTTAATCACATAAGATTTTTGTTTTCTGGAGCAACGTTCTGGCTTCATTTATAAGGTACTGCTTTTCTCTGATGATGTCCTCCATGTGCCCCAATGTTGCATGCCACCTCCTTGCAAACCTGAAAATCCTGCAGTACATGCTGAGAACTTGTGTTGCTCTTGTCATGTCTTACACTCACACTGTGTCCATCATGCACCGCCCCGGCCACCCCTCCTCTCCCCTCGCCAGTGCTGGAGATGAGAGGAGGAAGTGTCCGGAGCTCCATGGAGCTGATGTGCATAGATCAGAGTCTGGAGAATTGTCATTTTTATTATATAGTTTCAGCCTACCCATGAGCAAATAATTTTTCCCAGTTGTTTGGATCTGACTTTATTTGTGTGAAAAGTGTTTTGTAATTTTGTGATACGGTTCCTGGGTTTGTCTCAAGTATTATTATTGTCTACAGTAATTTTAAATGGATTTTTTCTTTGTCTCTTGCTATTGGACTTTGTTGGTAATATATGGAAATGCTGATGGTTTATGTGGATTTATTTTATATCCTGCAACTTTGCTAAAGTTGTTAATTATTTCAACTAGTTTTTTAGTTGGTTCTCTAAGATTCTCCACAAATACCATCATATTATCTGCAGAGTGATAGTTTCATTTCTTTATTGCCTATTCTAACTCCTTTGATTTCTTTTTCTTCTCTTATTACTATAGCTAGCATTTCCCCAGTACAATATTTAATAATAGTGGTGACAATGTGCATCCTTGCTTCACCTCTGGTCTTATCAGGAAGGCTTCTAGCTTATCCCCATTACAGATAATGCTTGCTGATGGTTTTAGATAAATACTACTTATCATAGTTATTCTTATGCTTTCTAGTGTTTTTAATAGGAATAAGTGTTGAATTTTGTCAAGAGATTTTTCCGCATCTGTTGAGATAATCATATGATTTCTGTTGGTTTTGTTATTGATATAGTCTGCTATGTGCCTTTTTGAGAAAATTTAGTATAGTATAGGTTTGACTATTCCTTGGTTGTAATACTGAAATAACAAATCAGCAAATATGAAGAGATACTGAATATGCACAAAAACCATTTTGCATATTGTAGTCTTTGTGAAATGCATAATAGTGTTTGTATATTTACTCTCTGGCATAGTAGTGACGGGTAGCTTTTTTTTTTTTAAAGAACCACATGTACTTCATGAAAAAATTGAGAATTAGAAGTTCATTTGCTTGAGATCAATATATAATTTGAGAAGCTGCATAGATTAGTGAATAGGAGATCAAGCCTAGAGATAGGAAGAACTGAGTTGAAATCATATTTTTGACATATTTTAGTTTTATGATTTTGAGTGTCATTAGGCTTTCAATGTCAAAGGTGAATCCCTAAGACCATAAGTTACAGACAATTTGCTGATCCTCATTTTTGGATGGAATTTCGACATGGGGGGTTCCTCACCATATGCTAGTATATGTCTGTTTTTTTTAAAGATCTGTTTTTCCCCTGAAAATACTTTCTAAATTTTTCTTTATTCCAGGCCTCCTTATTTACTTGCAATCAGTGACCTAGTCCCTCTACACCAAAAGTTTCAAGCCAAAGGGTAAGATTTAGAAAGGGCCATAACTTTCCTGTCCTGAATCCCTATGATGTAGTTTGTAGAATATTGATTCAGAACAAGGGTAATAACACTTGATAAAAGATGGTCATCACTGAACAGAAATTCTGCTTTTCAGCTAAATGTTCTTATGTAGACTGATTTCCCATCATGCACCAGTTTCCATGTAAGATTTATCATTGTTGTATTGAATACCTCATCCTTACAGACGATATAACATTGAAAATTTACCTATTTACCTATGACTTTCCAACGAAAATAAGTGATAGGGAAGAGACAGGCTAAGCTGCAGACGACATCCCTATTGTAATTTTAAAAGATCTCTCTGTTATCCCAAGGATATTCTCGGTATATATTAGTTACAAAATAGTAATCAGCTCTGCAAATTCACACAGGGCATCCTTGGCAGCAGTTTGAGCCTAAGTTCCTTGGAGACAATGTTTGTTTTATGTTTCTTCATATACCCTGTAGCATATTGTATCTTGCTCACCCTTTTATGCCAATGAAAAGCTGCCTCCTCCACAAAGTTCTCCTTAATTCTCTAAGCTAGAAGTTATTCATCACTACTCCCCTGAATTATTTTTCCTTTGCTGCTATTAATTTTTGTTTTTTGATTTTTGGTGAAGCAATTGCCCCGATAAAATGTTTTTAAAAATTAATAGTAGCTGGGGCAGCTAGGTGATGCAGTGGATAAAACTCTGGCCTTGGAGTTAGGAGGACCTGAGTTCAAATTTGGCTTCAGACACTTGACACTTACCAGCTGTGTGACCCTGGGCAAGTCACTTAACCCTGATTGCCTCACCTAATAATAAAATAAAAAATCATTTATTTCAAGCATTCTTTTCTTTTTAAATTTTGAGTTCCAAATTCTCTCCCTCCTTTCTACCCTTCCTCCCCCACTGAGAAGGCAAGCAGTGTGGATATCAATTATACATGTGAAATCATGCAAAACATTTCCATATTAGCCATATTTACAAAAAAACCCAAGAAAAATCAAGTGAGAAAATCATACCTAAATTTGTACTCAGAGTTCATTACTTCTCTCTCTGCAGGTGGATAGCATTTTTTCATCATGAGTCCTTTGGAACTGTCTTGGATCATTGTATTGATCAAACCAGCCAAATTTTTCACAGTTAATCATCATTACAGCACTGCTGTTACTGTACGCAATGATCTGGTTTGCATCAGTTTGCATCAGTTCATGTAGGTCTTGCCATGTTTTCCTGAACCCCACCCCCCATCATTTCTTATAGCATCATCACAATCACATGCCACAACTTGTTCAGCCATTCCCCAGTTGATAGTCAATCCCTAAATTTCCAATTCTTTGACACCACAAAAAGAACTTCTAAAAACATTTATATATATATGGTCCTTTTCCTTTTCTTTTTATCTCTTTAGGATTCACACTTAGGAATGGCATTGCTAGATCAAAGAGTATGCATAGGGGTTATAGTTGCTAATTATTCTTCAGAATGGTTGGACCAGTTTATTACACCACTAATAGCTCCTTAGTATACCTATTTTTCCCCATTCCCTCCAGCATTTGTCATTTCTAATAGGTGATGTGTTTTAATTTGCGTTTCAGAGTTGTTTTAATTTACCTTTTTCTAATCAATACTGACTTAGAGCCTTTTTTCCCCCCTATGACTATAGTAGCTTTGATTTCTTCTTCTAAAAACTGCCTGTTTATATCCTTTGACTATTTAGCAACTGGGGAATGACTCTTATTTTTGTGATTGACTCAGTTTTATACTCAGTATATATATTTGAAAAATGAGGCCTTTATCAGAAAACTTGCTGTGAATTTTTTTATATTACATCATTGTTTATGGTACCTTTGTAGTAAAATGTAGTTTTCCTGATTATTTCTTTTAATTGAGACTATTTTTGCTTTTGCTTTGTCTGAGATTATGATTGCTACCTCATCTTTTTTTTACTTCAGCTGAAACATATTAGATTCTATTTCAGCCCTTTATTTTAACTCAGTGTGTTTTTCTGTTTTAAATGTGTCTTTTGTAAAACACCATGTTTTTGGATTCTAGTTTCTAATTAATTCTGCTATTTGCTTCTATTTTGAGTGAGCTCATACCAGTCACATTCACAGTTATAATTACTAACTTTGTTTTTCCTTCTATTACATTTTCTTCTGTTTTTTTCTTCTCTCTTTTTATGTTGTTCCTCCTCAAAAGTCTATTTTGCTTCTAATCTTTGCCTCCCATAATCTGTCCTTACTTTATTACCACCCCCCTCCTTTCTTTTATCTCCTTCCTTTTCTATTTCTTTATTGGATAAGTTAGGTTTCTATACATTACTGAGTGTGTGTATGTATATATGTGTGTATGTATATATGTTCGTGTGTGTGTGTGTGTTCTTCCCCTTTTGAACTAATTTTGATGAGAGTAAGGTTCAAGCATTGCCTCTGCCCTGCTTTCCCCTCCACAGTTAAACCTCTTCCTTGTGTGCCTCTTTTATGTAAGAAAAATGTCCTTATTATACCTTTCCCTTCCCCTTTCTCCCAGTGCATCCCTTTTTCTCACCCCTTCATTTTTTCTGAAATCATAACAACATAATTGACTCACACTCATGCCCTCTGCTATGTAAACTCTTTTAAAGTGCCCTAATAATGATAAAGTTTTTAGAAGTTACAAATATCATCTTCCCATATAGGAATGTAAACAGTTTAACTTTATTGAGTGCCTTATATTACTCTTTCACACTTACCTTTTTAGTTTCTCTTGAGTTTTGTGTTTGAATGTCAGAATTTTTATTCAGCTTGTGGTTTTTTCATCAGGAATGCTTGAAAGTCCTCTAGTTCATTAAATGTCCATTTCTCCCTGCCCCCTC